GGGAAACATAAAAAAAAAAAAAAAAAAAAAAAAAGGTCCATGGCCTCAGGCTCGCGGCAGTGACCTACTTGCTTGCAGTCAATCAGTCACTGTTTGGAACGACCATATTCCTTCGACCCACAAGTGAAAAACGATGCTATACGTTGATGAATATCAGCAAGTCTTCTGTGCTTTGTCCCCGGACAGTCGAAGGGCAGCGATTGTGTTGATAACAAATGACTTTACGCCTTAATGTACACAACTTTGTCTGGACTCATACAAAAATGTAGCCGTTTCTCCCTTTCTCAACGCCATACTCTGACACAAGTCCCACACAATTGATTTGACAAGATGGTGTTTAATGTACACAACTTTGTCTGGACTCATACAAAAATGTAGCCGTTTCTCCCTTTCTCAATGGCATACTCTGACACAAGTCCCATCGCAATTGATTTGACAAAATGGTGCCATTGCGATGCGTTTTCAGAGCGTCCGAGAGCACGACTCGATTTTTCACCACATTGAAGGACGATTTAATTTCCCGTTTTTCCAGTTTATTCACATTTGGCAGACTCGTTAACAATACTCTCTTCTGTGTGTCAACTTTATAAGATCTGGGTTCGGCGAATCGGTCTCAGGGGTTCGACGGAACCTGCGCTATTTTCGGGGTGGTGTTTCTCCGCTAACATAGCACAGGAGAAGGAGCGGGGTGTACAAAGAGAGCACCAAAAAATATGCAGATGGGCATGAATAGTGGAGTTTTTCCCAGCAAAGAGGTTCTACAAAACTGTTTGCGAGGAGCGTAGTTGGCAAATGATAGGGAGCCTCTGCCATGGAGGTTAAGACACAGCCGACTGAACACGTCATTTAGTTCTGACACGCCCACTTGGCCATCACTGACTGCAAATGATCGCATTACGTTGCTTGTCCAATCAGTGCTAAGGGAAATTTAGTTCGCTCAGTAGTCTACGTGTGACTGTTGTGATCGTACGTCGTGTGATTTAAAAAAAAAACCAAAAACGATTTAATACATTCTATGTCGAGCAAAAAAAAAGAGGTTCTACAAAAATGTTTGCGAGGAGCAGAGTTGGCAAATGATAAATAGATAATATTTATTTTATTCATGGTTATTATTAATGAAGTGAGAAATGATGAAGTCGCGACCCTGATGCAAATAGGAATTTATCAGCCGTGCGCATAGTTGGAAAAACTTTCTAGCTCTTGGTGTGGCCGTTTGAATCGGTATGGAACTGCAGGGATGGAGGGATCAATGGTAATCATAGTTATTCTATGTCGAGCAAAAAAAAAAAAAAAAAAAAAAAAAAAAAAAAAAAAAAAAAGAAAGTGGTCAGACGAATATGGATTCACATGCATCACGGCCCGCGATGGGACTCAGCGTCTTATCTGCATGATTTGTCATGCCGAGTTGAGCAACTCCAATCTCGCACCGGCAAAACTGAAGGAACACTTCGCAGATCCTATTTTTATTTTTCACTAAGGGTTCGGTGGATGCGCATATGAACTGGTTGGGTTCGGCACCTCTAACTTTAGAGGTTCAGAATGACTGATATCGAGTATTAAAGTTCACTTTTGATTGCAGCTGCTTTTTAACTGTATTTTTGAAAAGCTAAAGAGATCATGTACAGTATAGTGAACCTGCGCTATTTTCAGGGTGCTTTTTCTCCGCTAACATAGCACAGGAGAAGGAGCGGGGTGTACAAAGAGAGCACCAAAAAATATGCAGATGGGCATGAATAGTGGAGTTTTTCCCATCAAAAGAGGTTCTACAAAAATGTTTGCGAGGAGCAGAGTTGGCAAATGATAAATAGATAATATTTATTTTATTCATGGTTATTATTAATGAAGTGAGAAATGATGAAGTCGCGACCCTGATGCAAATAGGAATTTATCAGCCGTGCGCATAGTTGGAAAAACTTTCTAGCTCTTGGTGTGGCCGTTTCAATCGGTGTGGAATTGCAAGGACGGAGGGATCAATGGTAATCATAGCCGTCGCCGCCAAATATGCCTGCGTGCTCCTCCCGCAGGTTTTGCCATCCTCCAGGCCATTATGGAGTCGGCTGTGGCCAACAACTGGCAGGTGACCGCCCGCTCAGTGGGCAACATCGCGGACCCCACCGAGTATCGCCGCATCATTGAGGAAATGGACCGCCGGCAGGAGAAACGTTTCCTCGTCGACTGTGAGGTGAACAGGATCAACTCCATTCTAGAGCAGGTTAGTGAGCCAACCGTCCTCATTATTGGTTTTTTTTTCTCTTCTTCTTCTGAAGTGGAATCCACTGCTATTTTGGTACTCTGATTTCATCCTCAGACGCCATGGTTTTCATTTAAAGGATTGTGCTAAAGCAAGCAAAAAAAAAAAAAAATGGTGACAAGTTTGTTATTTGTTGCTCCTAGTTTGAAGTCAACTACGCTTCAGGCAGGAGGGGGAATTAAACAGCCTCGTATTTGTTTCCTTGGTGAACTGCAGTTTTCCCACATGAGGCATATCGAGAGTTTGCTTGCAGCACGTGCGCAGTGGAGAATAAATACCGTATATATGCACGATGAGGGAAAACTTGGGACCTCTGCTTGTTTAATCAGAACATTCTGAAACCGAGTCCTTTCTTTTAATCAACGAAAAGACCGATTTCCTCTTGGAAATTATAGTTAATGCTCATCTAAAAGAACCTTTGTAGTGGAAATTCCCCCGTGCAATCGTCATGAGCTTGTATGCGTTTCACAACACAAAATGAATGCAAGGTTATCTCCGTTAACGCAAGATATGCTTAGATGAGTAGGATTTGGTCTTGGAGACTTCGTCGTTAGCATGCCTGCGTCACAGTTCTGAAGTTCGGAGTTGCGAAGAAAGACTTCAAGAGGTTTATAACTCGCTTGAAGTATTTGCTCAAATGTGCTCTTTAGCGTGAGCCACACACCGGATAATGTGTGCCGCTGTGTTATATAAAAGGGTTAACTTTCCCTGGGGTGCCTGTTATGTGGACCCACACGTGTCAACAGAGAGCTAGGAGGTAATCTATTGGAAGAGCCTGCCGCCGGTCCGTGGCGTGCGGGAGCCTGTTAGCCCACGATCTAGCTGCCGGCTAGCGCCTCTTGTCAACTCAGTGGGATACATAACAGCCACCGGAGGCTTTAAATGGATATATTTTTGTGGCTCAAACATACAGTATGGTGATATGTAGGCATACAAACGTATTTCATTGACAGCTAAAAGTTCATTGCGATGCGTTTTCAGAGCGTCCGAGAGCACGACTCGATTTTTCACCACATTGAAGGACGATTTAATTTCCCGTTTTTCCAGTTTATTCAAATTTGGCAGACGTGTTAACAACACTCTCTTCTGTGTGTCAACTTTATAAGACATTTTTAAGTGACTCCGATTCCAAAAAGATGGGTGGAGGTGGACTCTGATGCGGGCTGCAGCTACATAGATACAAATAATAACAAAGAGGTCATGATGGCCGGCCATCTCTCATCAGCAAATATATACAGTATTCTTTTATTTCAAAGCATGATCCCTTGTCACCCATACAGTATTTGCCTCTGTGCTCATCTACACCTATTTTTTTATTCCCTCCTGTTCTTTGCTGACATATTTATAGACAGAAAAGGGTTCCGACCTTTCCGTCAGGATCATCGATCTTCTCGATTTAGCATGTTTTTTTTTCCCTGACCTTCGTTGCAGCGTAATTTGCAACAGGAGGGAATAAATGACCGACACCACGGCACGTGTTCATTCTAATTAGGAGAGTCCAGTGATTGAATGACTACCAGTCTAGTTTATACTCAGGCTCTAGCCCAGTCAGCTGGGATAAGCTCCAAATTTCCTCTGTCCCCTTGAACAGTACAGCAGTACACGCACAGATATAAACATAACATAGGTAGGAGGTAAACATATGCTGTCAGATAACTGTGGCAAGGTGTCCTGCCGGCAATATCTACCCTGCGGTGCCTTCTAGCGAAGCCTCATCAAGCATCAACTGACAGCCGAGCGTCCCCCTTCCAAAGAGGCTCACCTTGCTTTCGTCTGGGGAAGAACAATTCCTTACATGAGCTACGACATCAACACGTGCGTTAATGTAATATCGGCTCCAAATGTAAGTAGGACACACTGTCCATTACAGCAACAACAATGAGCCAACTATAAATAGCCTATCCTCCTAGCCAGAGGGAAGATCTCTCACAAAGGCTAGAATGAGCAAACAGCCGTGATCACGCAGGCGTCGGAAAGCAACCGTTACGCACGTGATTCTTTTGGAATGGCTCTAAAGGCCTCATTAAAACAAGCCGTCACTCTTCAATTGCTCGACGTCTGCCTGCGCCGTATCTCGACATAATGCAGTCAACGTTAGCTATTTGATTTGAGCAGGGAAAATATTTGTGGCACTGTTGGTTTCATCCCCCCCGACGGGTTCTCTGACCACCTTTTAAAAGGTATCCGTCTACCTGCCCCCCTGCCCCCCGCTGCAAAGTCACAGCAATAAACACCTTTAAGCCTTTCATCAATAATAGAAGCATAGCAGATCTAAAACCGAGAAGGGGGCCAGTTACCTCCAGCCAGCCTTCTTCCGCATAGTGGACAGGGGGGGCGGGTAGTGAAACGGCCGAGAGCTTTTGGGAAATGTGCCAAGTTGTGTAAGTCTGGAGTGTCTGGAGTTGTGGAGGGATAGGGGGCACTCAGAGATTCTCAGCCAAGGGAGGGCAGAAAAAGCATTTGGTGGTTGATTGATTTTTTTTTGTTTTGGTTTTTTTGCAAGGGTTGCGGGGAGGGGGGGGTCATTTTTTTTCTGATGGTGAAGACTCTGTTATTGACTGATTTTAAAGCAGTGGTTAAGTTGCACGACAGTGAAATGTTGCGATGTTACTTTAAGCCTTGCCTGCACAATTAATGCGGGTTTTATGCTGATGATTATTTTCATTATTTCCTCATGGAAAAAAAAAATGTTTTGTAAGCATCAAAGCGGAATGGATTATTGAATCCCAGAGGTGCAATATGCAATTTAAAAGGGAATTAACCACTAAGTAGAGTCTTAAAGCATGTCACCGCCAGAAGGGAGGGAATATGGTATTTTACAGATGGAGGGCAAATACAAATTTTATGTTACAGAGTACTGTACTGTACGTTATTTCGAATTAACCACTAAGTAGAGTCTTAAAGCATGTCACTGCCAGAAGGGAGGGAATATGGTATTTTACAGAAAGAGGGGCAAATACAAATTACTGTACTGTACGTTATTTTTTTTTTTCTGTTCTTATATTTTGCTACTGGAATTAGAACTGGAATGTCCCCCATTTTATGATACTGTATATACCGGTACATGCATTTATTCTGAATGACATATATAACAGATGGTAAGGATCTGTCGTATCAAAACACTTCTGACAAGGAAAAAGCAGAACAATATGATGTGATGACGAATGTGCATGTCAAACAGCAGCTTCAGCCTTCAGGCTGTACTAAATGATTCATATCAGCAACTACATAAATAACAGGAGGGCGATAGGAGAGTGCACAGATAGACAAGCCATGTTTTTGTGGGCACCTTGTTTGTTTTTAACTGTCTTTTTCATGTTTATATGCCTTTCATTTCAACCAGACCTTCATTTCCTACCTTGTCTTGCTTTGATGTAGTTTTTGGTAATTCACTTCCAACTCCAATTAAAAATATATTTATATACACACACAATAGCAATAATTATCTTACTTGTGAAAAGGGGAGCATTATCAAGCACTGGAAAAGCAAAGAAGGCAGCCGACATTGTATCAATATAACAAAGAGAATTTTGCATCAGTGGGTAGGGAGGCAAATCCTATTGAAGACACTCGGGCACCCATCCAACTCCTCGCTAAACTCGGCTTGAATTCTGCGTAATTAGACGCGATTCCATTGGGAATACTCAAGACTGCGGCCCCGACATCAAATAACACCAAGCAAACTGCTCGTTCAGGCAGGAGATGACTGAAAGTTAAGGTACAACTTAATGATGTGCATGTGTGTGTATTATTTAGAAATTCCAAAACCAGGCTTGTTGGCGTATTCTAGGATGCCAAACTGTCCTGAGACATGAATATGAGTAGATAAGCGCTAGAAAATTGACGGTTGGTTTTCAGTGGTGTAGAACTGCATCATCCGGAAGTCTGTTTGTTCCTCTTACTGGATTGTCACTAAATGAGGTAATCAGCGTAATGCATCGTGCTACACAATCACAATACAACAAGTCATTAATAATTCAAGTCAAAGGGCGCTTTGGAAAACCTGCTCTTCTGTTTTGAAGCAGTTACAGCCCTTACAGTGTTATTTTCAAGTGAATTCCAGAAAGATCGACCAGGTCCATTGATGAAATCACATGTATCAATTCAATTCAACAACCAAACAAACATGAAGAGATTTGGCAACGTCTCACTGTCAGTTGTTTTTATTCAATTTTTGTACAAGTCTGCTTTAAAAGGCAGAAAGAAAGAAACTGTTTTTTTCTCCCCCTCCCTGATCGTTCCATTGACCCTCAGCAGCTTTTTGCCGTTTTCAACCACTCACAGAAAGCAGCGTTCCCAGGGGGCCATGAAACTAGAGCATCAGGATCCTAAAAATATTTGTAATAGCCACATGCTTCACAAATCCACTAATAGAAGGCAAGAGCAAGCTATTTTGTAAGACATGTAAGACATCAAAGGAAGGATACCGGTATTAACTTACTTGTGAATAATCTCTTTGATTACTTGAGAGCGAACAACTGCAAATGCACTGAGCAGTCATACTTATTGGTTATCATGATTTTATCACCACCCATTGATTTTAGCATGATGTGTTATCACTGTCAACATTATTTCTCGTCATGTTTTATATGTAATCACATTTATTCATAATGTCATCAAGATTCAGAGTCGAAGCATAATGAGAAACCATACGAGAGGAACCACACAAAAGGACTACAAATCCCAGCGGTCAAACGCGGAAGCAAAATGCCGGTCCGACTCACTCTCGCCGTAACGCAAAAATCATCATTCAAACTTCCCAATGCAGCCGGACAACCATGATTTGGCAACACTTCAACAAAACAGAAATAATCATGTGGACACCACTGCAATTGCAAGTCTTAACTTTCTAACTTCTGCCCACGTCCTTAAAAAGCTACTTCCAGCGAGTGTTTGCACTGCCGATTGCGAACAGCAAGTAACGTTAAGCGATGCAGCAAACACAAAGCGCCACGGACACAAAACAGACAAACCAAGCAAGCAAGCACGATTGAATCTCAAAATCATTCTGCAGATCTGACAAAGCAAAGCGGACATAAGAAACGTAGCTTACCATTGGGGTTATGCTGGTGATGAAAGTAGGTGATTTTCTACTGAACCAAACTGCGACCCCTTTTTTTTTTGCACGTCAAGTGAATGCTCACCTGTCAGTGGCAGGCCCCGCCCCATCTTAATGTCCCAGGTGAATCCAACAATACCAAAGAAAGACAACTATCCATCCATTTTCAGTGCCACTATTATTCTAGTGCAGTGTAATTCTACACCATACCAAATAATAAGCATTATATATTAAATCCATATCTCTCTATCCTAGCATCACTTAAAACTGAGTATATTGAAAGGGCAGATTTTTGTGGAAATTTCTGGTAGGATAATTCGTGGATATGCTTGGAAAGACACGCTGGGCAATCGAAATGATTGCATTGCCTGACTGTGCTTTGTGGGGGTGTACAGAAAGCCAAAATGAAAAAAAAAACATAACTCACCACCTCCATAATGCCTTTTTTAAGCTCGGTGCTTTGTCACGGAGAAACCGACACAGTCGCAATATGGAGCGGTAAAAAGCATGGGTGCAAAGGATGTTTTGCCTGTTGAAGAAGTTTCGTTTTGGTGCTAATTAGGAGGCAGTGACACGGCGGGGTTGGGAAAGCGGGAAGGACACCCACTGCGGAGAGGAGGTTGAGCGAGAGAGCCGTTTTGCTGCAGCCTTGACCTTATTTCACTTGTTGAAGTTAATGGGAAGGAGCAGGCGGTGTCATCAAGGCGTCTCGCCCGTGTGTGTCCCCCCCCATATACACACTCACAAGTTCCCGTTGCAAATGTCACTTGTTTCTCTCGTTTTCTTCTGTCCGTCTTTGTGTTCTCAAACTAAAAGGTCTTTGTTGTTCAATCCCCGATCAGCTGTCAGCATGGGGAGCTGTGACTCACTGAATATTTCTTCCTCGTAGGTGGTGATTGCGGGCAAAAACACCAGAGGATACCACTATATCCTTGCCAACCTGGTGAGAAATGAATCCCACAGAACACAATGATGACATTCAGTCACGTAGAAAACAGCAACGACATTCGACTCGTGTCGTAAAGTGCCATCATTTGTTGGCAGATGACCTGACATGTAGTTTGTGACTTGTATGGTTTTGAAAATTGTGGTGGGCACTGTCTTAGATTGTTTGGGTGTACCTAAAATTTGTGCTAAATTCTAAACAAAATGACACTCATAAATTGAAGCGGGGCGGCACGGTGGTCGACTGGTTAGCAGGTCATGGGTTTGATTTCGGCCTCGCCTTTCCTGTGTGAAGTTTGTATATTCTCCCCGTGCCTGTGTGGGTTTTCTCCGGGTACTCGGAGTTCCTCCCACATTCAAGGACAAGCATGTAGGTTGATTGAATGCTCTAAATTGTCCTTAGGTGTCATTGTGAGCGCGAATGGTTGTTGTTTGTCTCTGTGTGCACAGTTTACGTGCCCAAAGTTAGCTGGGATTGGCTCCGGTACACCCGCGACCCTCATTGAAGAAAAAGCTGTTCAGATAATGGCTAGATGTTAAATTTGAAGCATGTTTTTCAGCTAATAGCCAGTTGTACTCTTTTATCTTCAGGGTTTTTCCAACATGAGCTTGGACAGGGTGTTTTCTGGTGGAGCCAACATCACAGGTTTCCAGATCATCAACCCGGAGAGCGCCATTGTGCAGCAGTTCCTCCAACGCTGGGAGCGTCTTGATGAAAGAGAATTCCCAGAAGCTAAAAACACTCCACTAAAGGTCATCGAGACCTAACTGGAAATGCTGCGTCAAACTGAGTTTTTTTTTTTTTTTTAAATCCCTTTAAAATAACTTTCCGTTGGTTTCTTGCGCCTCACAGTACACATCGGCACTGACCCATGATGCCATCCTCATCATCTCTGAGGCCTTCCGCTACCTTCGACGCCAGCGTGTGGACGTGTCCCGCAGGGGAAGCGCGGGCGACTGTCTCGCTAATCCTGCTGTGCCCTGGAGTCAAGGCATTGACATCGAGAGAGCTCTGAAAATGGTGAGCGCATTCACAAGTGGGTTTCTGGATAACTCCAGTTTTGTCTCATTGGTTTGGCCGCATTAGCTGATCTCAAAGCTTCATTGTCAGAGCTCGAAACAATAAAACGAGGATAATTCAAACAGTTCCACACTGTTGCATTTCCATACACTGCCGTAAATACTGCTTGTTGAGCAACAAAGTGCAATTGCGCGTAATAAGCTCGCATAGAGAACAACTTGTGTTCTTGAGTGCTAGCTTGGTACAATTTTAAGCATTTTAAAGTTTATTGCAATTCAATTTGATCTGAAAAAAACTTGTAGGCAGGATACCTCTCCTTCATTTCAAAAACAGGGCTCATAAAAACAAGTGCAAAGTGTTGCGGCCGCGAAGTATTGCGTATATGCGAGTCGGGTATTCAACCTTTCTCCTGTTGCACCTGCCAGGTCCAAGTTCAAGGCATGACAGGAAATATCCAATTTGACACATTCGGGCGAAGAGCCAACTACACGATCGATGTGTACGAAATGAAGTCAGGAGGCCCTAGGAAGGTATGTCTGTTCTTAGCCCAGGACACCAGAGAAATCAACAAATTATAAATTGCATTCTTGAAAAAAATCTCAATGAAACCTGTAACGGAGCAATTGTGACAAATGTGTTGGAAGTTGGGACAATCTCGCTGAGTCTTGTGACACCTAATATGCCAACAAATAGCGTGCTAACAACCCATAATGCTAATTCTGAACGCGTCGTGTCTCATTGAACAGGTGCTGAGGTACGAACAATGAGAGCATGCTCACCGTTGGTATGCTAACGTACAGATGGCAAACTGAGTCGAGAAAACGCCGAGGCAAATGGCGAAAGATTTTACATTGTGCCCTATAGTCAAGTATTTCAATTGAGAATTTATCAAACTTGAATGTGTTAGCAGTTGGTACGATAACATGAAGCACACTAGCAGACTGAGTACAAAAGGCGCTAAGTCGGACAAATATTGTGAATACTTTTACAGCGTGCCCTGGATTCAGACACTATTCTAAATAAAAATTGATAAAATGTTAAAAAGTGAATATGCTGCTAACATAAAGCGAAGTAGCTAGCTTAACCTTGCTAACTTGATAAGCTCACCGTCAGCAGTGGGCAACAATGCGTGTTGACATACGTATTAAAAAGTGAGCTCAGTGAGCAGGTCATCTGAACTTTTGATAAGATGGTTGACCCCTCTCTCTCTCTCTCTCTCTCTCGATGGACTCTGTATCCTGTCACCACGCCCATCTGTTCTCACCAAATGACCCATTAAAATTCAACGACACGAAATAGCCTAGTTCCCGACGCTCCAGGAGCACATTATTCTCCCGTCCTTTGTCCTTTCGAATCCTTGACGAGACTGTTAAATCTGCTGTGCGCACGCGTGGCCCACATTTACTTTGGATTAGAACGAAGCAATAACTGTCGCTCGTTTATTGTCGCCGAGACGGTAACAAACAGTCAAGACGTCAACCGTGCGACACAACGGCGGCTGGGCACCGAGTGTGTCGTCGCGGTCGAAAAGGACAAGGACAATGTTGTGTGTCGCTTAAAGGACTTGAACTCGGCTTGTCAGCAATTTTCGGATTCTAGATTTAGAATAACGATTGCCCAGTGACTGACCGTAACCCTAACGAGGATAAGTGGGGTTAAAAACAACAACACGACATGTACATTTGTATAAAAACTAGACGTGTCAATCATAATATAACATACAATGAGGTTTTATTTTGATGGTTTACTGATGCAGCAGTTATGCAATAATCGGTATCATGGAAGAAAGCCATCTGCAATAAATCACAATGTCCATGGAAACAGAGAAGGACCATCTGCAAAAGCACACAAACACCAAATGAAATGATCGCTCAAATCATATTCATCTGTTAATATTTCCATAAATTGATAGTCTAGATTATTATTCATTTATGTATTTTTCAGAAGAAAACTACATTTCGTTAGAACTAAACAAAAGGGACAGTTATTTGGATTTCTGCTTTTTTGAGTCATCACTGTATGTTGTATGTGTACGTTTGGATGTTTTTAAACGTTTAAGCGGACTTCAGAACTCGCATATCCACGAACCAGGTAAGATGCGACTCTCACTCTGCATAGCATGAGTGGAAGAAAGCAGAAAGCCTCATTGGGGTTACGTCACACCCAACTGAAGTGTGAAGTGTGTGCGTTATATTATTAGAGCAGCAAAACATGAAGTTTGTCTTCCTTGGCCCATGCTGCTTTCTGGTTATGTAAGAGACGATTTGCAGAGCCGCGAATAGCTTCCTCCTACTCAGCTGACGCGAGGCCCAGGTGAAGTGAGCGCCACCACAAACCGGCTCTCTTCATAACGAAATGATCACCATATTGTGCCAGCCGCAACGATAGTATCAGCATATTGGAAAAATATGATGCACAAAAGCCCACGGTGCAACTGAAGAAGTGAAAACTTCTCGGAAAATCGTGCACTGTGAGCAAAGAAATACAACACAGTGCAATAGAAAAAATACTCTTTGCTCTTACATTACCATTTAAAATATGATTGAATGTCAGGCACGATTGTATGCAGGTACCTTTTTTTTATTTTTTATTTTTTTTTAAGAAAAAAGAAAATATTACAAATAACATGCCAATGTAATTCAATTACTAAGAGGGAATCATTTTGCGATTGTGTCCTCTGACCTATTCATCACTCAAAAAGTCTTAAAAATCATTGAAAACAAAAATGCGCATCGCTCTCATATTTACTGTAAAACTATAGTCCACTGAAAACCTAATGTGTCCAATTAATGGATTTTTTTTTCTTTTTTAATCACTATCGTCGGGACAGTCCATTTACATGAAGAAACACTGAGTAGATCTATTCAAGATTCGAGATGTTAATCAAAAATATAAAACTTTTTTTTTTTTTTTTTTAAAAGAGCAGTTGAAAAAAAAATCTAAGATGGAAAAATGAAAACAACAAAGAGGGGGCCAGGGACTATACATGAATTCAATTTAAAAGCAATTAGAATTTCAGAAAAAAAAGGAGAGTGTATTTGAGTCTAGCAGGATTACAAAAAAAAGGTATTTTGAAATAAAATACATATCAGGGGTGTATAACGTTACAGTTTCATGTCAAATGTGACTTGGACTTTGGAAAGTATGATATTATTACACGACATCGATCAGTAACGGGCGGCTGAATATTCGTTTGGACAAATTTCCCCTCCCGTGCGATAACATCCAGTCCCTTTTGGCCCAAATACAGTAAGCGCAGCTACAACCATTAGACACACCGGCAAGCATTCGGCTGGTGCTGACAAAAATTTCCATCTCAGAGGGGACCACTGTTCTAAGCAATAAGACGATATTGGTATTTTGTCCTCCAACCTGCAAGGAGTTGTATTGTGTCTTTCTGCTTCTTTTAATAACTGTCACCGTCTGTGTTGTTTTTGCAGATCGGCTACTGGAATGAATATGAAAAATTTGTATATGTAATGGATCAGCAGGTCACCAACGAGTCGTCTTCTGTGGAAAACCGAACAATTGTGGTCACTACTATTATGGTACACTCCCAAGCAGGTTTTAAGTGTTTGACCTCAAGATTTCTGCCACTCAAGGTCAAGGTGTCCATTGTTGCAATCTGTCCTGGGAGGGTAGAACGATTTTCTTTTGAGTTGCTTTCCATCCACTCACTACATGTTGAAACAGTCGACTCACAAAGAGTGTTTCAACTGTACCCGTGTGGGTGTCAAAGCATTTTGGTTTTGTTATATTCCAGTGGGCTGTTGTAGTAGTGACATCACAATAACGGCATTGGTAAACGATAAGACTAGAGATAAACGCCCATTCGCATTCAGTGCCAACGTAAGTAACGGTGTTTCCGTCTCATGGAGTAAAGCGGTCAGTGACAGAGCGTTGACGCAGCCGATTTGAGAGGACATAAACAACCAAAGGCGAGCCCACCCTTGGTTGCTTATCACCTTTTTCGCCCCTCAAAATGTTCTTCAAGTTCAGTACTTCAAGAGTAAAAGTAGTTCTTGTGCTCTTCAGTAAAGATCAAGTCGCAGCAGGTGTGGAATCATCAGGCCTCTTTAAATGTAAAATAAGGTGCGCCTTATCTTACATTTAAAATCATGGCCTCGTCTTACTTCTGACTTTGTCTATTATGCTTGCATCCTAGGCAAATTCAGAACATGTTCTCAAAAAGTCGCAATGTGAAATGTCAACACATTATTTTTCTCACTCCCTGTCTGTTTTTTTTTTTAAACAGTTTTTACTCTTTTTATCATCTCTTTCTCATCTTTCTGACATCCCACTAATCAATGCCATGAAAGTATCACCAGAGTTATGAATAATGTTCTGTTTTTGGGAGGTTGGGGGCAGGATCGGCAATTGATGGACTGGCTGATAAAATTTACTAACGAAAGCACGGTGAAAATGATGATGACAGACTGACAATAATATTTTGGTTTGGCTTGAAATAATGACGGATTGACAATGACGGATGGGTGCCCAGGCGGCTGACCAATGACGGACCGACAAAATTTACTGACACGCCCACTCACGCTCTTCTGATGCCGATTGTGATTTAGGGCACTTGAGCGCCTGCAATGTCTCTTCTGTCACTGACGTTTACTTTATGAACTGGAAAAGTGCCCTGTTCAGCTTGCCCTACACCCCCCCCCCA